GTGTGTGTGTGTGTGTGTGTGTGTGTGTGTGTGTGTGTGTGTGTGTGTAGGTGTGTGTGTGTGGCATATTCCTACAGATTCACTGTACACTGGACAGAGATGAGACAAATAATCAGACAGCTAGAAGGCCATGCAGATGATACTGTGTGACTCATGTTGTCATCCTTGAATTGAAACTCTGGTTTAGATCTTTCCAGCCCTGAAAACTCGATGAGAATCATGAGTCTAGTTGTTCATGGGTTAAGAATTAATCCAAAACCCAAAGCTTGCTGCCTGGCCTCCTCTGAATTCATTTACATATGTCCAGACAGTGTTGTTTTGTATTCCAGTACCAGTAAAAAACAGACAATTTCTTGCTGCTATTTGGTTTAATTTCACATGTTCTTAGCAACAGGCTCTTTAGAAAGAAAGGCCCCCTTATCCCACCGAGCCAGAAAAGGTCAAACCATGAACTCAATTTAGCAAACAACAGCGAGAATCCTGCAGGAGAGCATTACGCACATGGTGAGAAATGTGGAATGCTGCCTGCTGTTTGAAGCAACAAATACTGTACTTAAACTTGTTAAACTTCAACAGCTTCTTAACAGAACCCAGCGCAGAGAGTCACCTGATCAACTAACAAAACAGATACCCTGCAAAGTATTAATGGTCGTGCTGTCCAATCACAGTGCTGGCTTTCTTTAAACAGCAGGAAGCAATGGCCAGTTACTCCCACTTGATGAAGCAATGTCAAAGTGGATTAAGAGGCTGGGTGTTGGGCTCAGAGGAGGTCTGTTATGTGGTGATTGTCCCAAGCCTTTCCATTAGCCTGTCCGGCATTAGCCTCTATTATACAACTATTATTATACAAAAATAACACCACTATATCATTTATATTTAGTTAACATTAAAACTGCTTTCTTGACATATATCTTGCTGAACTCCACTTGTACACTTGTTAGTGAACAGACTGCAGAAATCAGGAAAGCCACAGCTTTGTACAAAAATAAGTAAAAGGCAAAACATGCCAAGAAACACATGGTAGTCAGTATTGAAAGCTCTGAATATAATTTAAAAAGTCTTATTGGTATGTGTTAGAACAACTGTACACGGTGAGTACAATCTACAGTATATTTATGTGAAATTGACCATTGCCATTTAATACAGCATATAGGTACAAGTTATGATGTTAAAAAACATGTTTAGTGGTTTCTATTGTAAAATAAAAAAGGCATCATATTCCACATTGCTTTCTTAAGTAACTGACCTGTATGTAGTCCCAGTCTTTGGAGCAGTTACCGGCTCCCCACCTCTGGCCTCCTGAAAGCAGAGTGAACATTAAACACAGTTTGCTCCCCTGCTATACTGTATCTCACAGCTCAGAGGAAATCTCACAACAACTCAAACAAAGTAGAGGTGCTGACCACTCCCAAAGGAGCAAGAAATCCCCTGGGTCCTATCCTCCTCGGCCTAAAAACAACACCATTCATGATCCGTCTGAGCTGCCAGTGATTTCAGTCAAAACACAACCTATGAAGCAAACTGAATCACAGAAGAATCAGGAACCAGCTCAAGAATCAAAAACCTTTTCGGGTCGCATTAAAGCTGCTTGGGTGATTGCAAAGGGAAGGTCTTAACAACATGATCAAAAAATATGATTGAAAGGAAATTTATAGCAAAAGTAAAAAATGTTGGCAGCCAAATTTGCATTTGGGTGGGGGGCAACTTGCAGGCAGATGATTAACATAGCAGATCAATCCAAGAGCAAGACAGGCAGGCGATTCCAGGGCTGTCATCCAGGTCAGAGAGGGAAAACAACAGACGTGGCTAGCAAGCAGTGAGGGTCTCACTGAGACTCACAGCATTCATTGAGAGTGGAGGAGTAAAGGTGAGGGTGGGTGAGGATTCTGCTAGGTTGGGGGGGGGGGATGCTTTAGCAGAGAGAGACAGGAGGGGGGCTCAGTACCTCACCCCGGCCTCGATGCTGCTTCTTCTGGGAAAGTCTCCTCTCCAGGCCCTGGATCTCCGAGTCCAGCTCAGCCTCAAATCGACTTAGCTCAGAGACCAGACTGGCCTGAGCCCGAGCAATGATGGAGTTGGAATGGCAAAATTAAAACACTAATACAGTGTACTAAAACAATGTTTGGAGCTAATGGTGTCCCTTCATAATGATTTCTAAGACGGAACCTCGATAGAGTGAATGCAGCAATTGAGATTCTGTGAAAGCAGCTCACCTCAATTGACGGGGACTTTGATGTGTCAGGTTGTTTCTTCGGAGATACATGAACCTAAGAACAGAAAAAGAAAGTGACAACACTGAACAGAAGTTTCACCACCTAGCAGTTTAATTAAGACATGCTGCCACCATTTCACTTCGGTTTTTTGAGATTGTGTTTAGGAATTCAGAGGGATTTGGGACTAACTGAACAATCTGCCGCACAAAGATTTTAACCAAATAGCAAATCTGACAGCAATATTACTTTCGGGGAAAGTTAGAGAAGCAATTGAAAGTAGCCAATTGAAACTCTAAAATATCGTGAAAAACGTACATTTATAAAGTAAAACAAGTTTTAAAAATGCAGGAAGGCAGGCTGGATGTCAAGATGCCAGCAGAGGTGTAAAGAAACACCAATATATTTCTTTCACATTATAATAAACTTGATTTCACGACCTAGCCGATACCACTTTCACCCTCTCTTTACAAAGACTTAACACCAAGAGAGCAGCTGATTCTATCAAACATTACTTTAAAAGGTTCTGCTGGCGAGAACCACGGACCCTCGTCTCCAATTTCAGTTTTCTTTTTGTAAAACCCTTGGCTGAATGTGCCCCTGTGAACGCCAACGCCTTCCCATCAGCTGGGAGTCATCCTCACTACAACCACAGACTGTAATGTCAATGCGAAGCAGCACAACATCACCTGATATGGTCTGAGCGCTGGTTTTCTAAATGCTGTCCAGGGGATAGAACGTATGCCACTGTCATGAAGAGGAAATTAAATAAGTCTCCATGCTGTGAGCCATTATACACCACAAGAGGTTAATGCCATAATTCGGATCACAAGACACCTCAGCTCCCTTGGGGGAGTGGAAACAAAGAATCCTTTTCTTCACAAGCGCAGACACAGGGCACAATATGCACGAGATCTGGGACATTATTGCAAAAAACTTGAGACACCTCTCTGTAACTCACCAGGATTGTTTAAACACAGTGACGCATACAATCGGCTGCACACTCCTGGGCAGTGCAGAATACACAAGGCAATAAATAACAACCCCAGAGATAAATTAATATGACTCAGAGTGTCACCAGTTGGTAAATCACAGACTTTCAGCACAATACCTGAAACTTAGATCATGTCTTTTCTTGTCTGAAATGCTGAATGAACGAATGTTGGATCCTCTGAATAAAAGAAGAAGTGAGCATATCTGGTGGTAAGCAGCGGCTGGTGGTAAGCAGCAACTGTGAAATGACCACACTCACAAGTTACCTCGCCTGAGAAGATGAAATGTGAGGATTATTGGCTATAATCCTTAAAGAAAAGGAGCCCATCCTCAAACCTATTCTTGATCCTCAACACTAAGAAAACAGTGCAAGACCACACAAAGAATGCCAGTGATTAGAGACAACAACAATGCTGGATAAAGCTAGCGGTTAAAGAATCATGCAGAAACATTTTTTATTTCTGCTAGAGTGATGTCACAGCCTATTTTTAAACTATGGCTTGTGTGTGAGGTTGTTACCTGACTTTGGATTTCTGAATTGCTGCTCTTCCCAGGCTCAAAATCGAATATGCTCCTCGGTTTACGGTGCTGCTTTCCCGGGTCTGACAGCTTATCTACATCCTCGCTCCTGAAACATAACACCCCGACACACACACACACACACACACCATGGCAGCTAAGTCATGGCTTCATTGTAAGTGCCTGTAACAACAAATCCAAACTTGTCTGTCCCACACGTTTTCCCTCCACTGCTCTTGGCCTTGTTGGTTGGTATTCACATAAGACGCCATCTGCAGTGCTTATCTGTTGTGAGGAATCACTTCATATTGGCTTCAATAGCCTACTAGTACTTTGTATTCTGATGTATTTTTTAAAACATCAGCATACTGGTAGATGTCCTCTCTTGCTAAACATTTAAAACACTGTATATCAGAAGGTGAATTTGCACATGGATTTATGTAATTTCCTGTCTCTTTAAAACATTTTTGAGAAAGGGAAACTTTGCATTCTATCAAACTTAGCTGTCTGGTCTAATCTTTACCTATGTGATGCTGTCTTATCTGCGCTTATCTGTAAGTTATTATTTTAAACCAAACTGCGATATAGAAGAAGCCAACAGTGGCGCTTAGTAGTATCACATTTTGGAGAAACAGCTTATTCGCTTTCTTGCCGAAAGTTAGATGAAAAGATCAATACGACTCTCAAATGTGTATGTTATGCTAGCCAGGAGATGGCTAGTTTAGCTTAGCACAAAGTATGGAAACGGAGGGAAACATCTAGCCTGGCTCTAACAAAAAACACCAACCAGCACATCCCAAATTTGCATTTGATATCTAATCTGTTTAACCCTTTTTCATCAATGTGAGGTTGCCAGAGGATACTCCAAGAAGTAACTCTGCAAAGGAAGGCTCACTATTTCAATCTTTTACCAGTCTTTGTGCTAAGCTATGCTAATTGGCTGCTGGCCATAACTACATATTTAAGCATGTTTAGAGTACAGAGGCGAGAGTGGTAACAATCTTCTCATCTGTCTCTCTGCGAGAAAGCAAGTAAGTCTATATCCTAAAGTGTCGTACTATTCCTCTAAGTCTGACTCCTGCCTCTGTGACATCCTGTACCCCATGACCCCGAAGCAGTTACATCAAACCAGTGTAAACTCACCAGTCTGGTAGAGCTCCATGAGATGTCAGTCTGAAGAGATTCTTGTCTGCTTCATTACTTTCTTCAGTGTTGGCAGCTAACTGGAGGCCTGCAGATCAGTGGATCAGTGCAGATCAGTCTTAAATACTGATTATGTAATTGGACATGATAACAATGTGGACTTTGGTGGATTCACTTACGTTCGGCTGACCACTGCTCTGAATCCTCCACATCAAGTTCTGGTAAACGACAGCAGAGAGACTTTTAGACTGACAACACTGGACAACACCAGTTTATATAGATCAATCAACCAAAATATTATTCTTATCGACACTCTTATGAGTATTTTAGATCCTTTACTTAAGTAAAATGAAAATGTTCACAGTGTAAAAGTTCTCTGATACAATTGAATCAAACATTAAAGCTCACTCCCCCCTCACATCCTCATACTGGACTTCATTACACAATTCAAAACTGCTCTTAAAACCCATCACGTTGACGACAACAACTCCATCTTATTTTCATTGATTTCAAGTCATTGTTGAGCTGTGCTTTGTTGCTTGTTATGTGCGTAATGTTGACTTTATTAATGTCTTATTACTTGTGCTTGTTGTTTATTGCATTTTATTAAACATGTAATGTGGCATGAAAGGCAATTATTATCGTTAATAATACTCATATTATTATCAAATGGAGAAATCCAGCTCAGTGCAGCGATGTTGACGTTAACCGCACAACTAACACAGAATGTGCTTCTTTTACGCAACACGTAACAAATGAACAGCTAGATTTAGGAGGGGCTGAGATAAGAAGCTGGATTATTGTCAGAGCTAATAAGCAGAGATGACATAAGACCTTCGGGCTCTTTCATCATGTCTTGTTTTGCCTCTGCAATAATCTGGTTTGCTGGATCACGTCTGTAGTACCTGACACTGGCAGAGAGGAATTCACTCTGGTATTGTGTTTGTGAGAAGAGGAGGAGGAGCGTCCTTACCCTCTGGCTTCTTGTGAATCTGTCTGAACATGCTCTTGTACCAGTCTCTGGGCTTGTTTACACTCTGTTATAGAAAACAGGGAAGGGTGCAGAGGTTAAACAAATCTGGTGAATTAGACTCAGACAAATACAGCACCATTGGATTTAGCAGGAACTAAAATGTTGAGAAGGAAAAATAGGTAAATTAATATCATGTAAAGCTAGTTGATCAAACAGTACATTCTGTGTCTTTGTCTTACTGATCTAGAGGCAATAGGCATCCCAGTTTCATCCACTGGACCGATTCCTGAGAACTTGATAAGCCTCTCCTCCCTGGTGGGAGTCCAGCTGCGTGGCAAAGTGGTAGAGCCCTGGACACCGTTGGACATTCCACCTGGGTTACAATCACAACTTTAAGATTTCAGAAATCATGTTGTTTCCCGTTATTTATTGTTTTCAGCTAAATTCAGGTGAAGTATACGGCCATTGATCTGGTTTTAAACCCTACCACATCACATGAAACCAGTCCAAAGTATCGTGTAACACATCAACTGACATTTCAACTGCATTCATCTTTCACTCTTCGACTGTTTGCATCATTTTACTCCACAAATAACATTTCCGCTTCCTTCAGTGGTTGCTCGTCAACTTATATTTCAGCTGCATTCATGTCTTTCTCTTTGAACAACACTTCTAACTCCTTTCAAGGCAGCACATTCATTTCAACTGATGGTACAATTTCTCAGGCGTTACACTTAAATTAACACCTTTGAATTGTATTCAGCGCTGACACTTCAACATCGTTCAACACTTACATTTAACTGCTATTTCAACTTCATTCAGTATTTGAATTTTGACTGCTACTTCATCTACAACTTTAAACTAAACAGGTTCATTTCAGCAGTGAGCACACATAATGTTTTATCAGTTAATTTAGACTCACATAAACGTTTATTTCCTGAAAACTTAAGATATTCAGCACTTGTGTTATGCATTTATTTAAAAATAATAAAAATAACCATACCATGCAACTGTGAGGGGCCATAGTACGATCCAAAGCTGAGAGCTGTTGGTCCACTTCCATTCACGTCTGACACCTTTAGAAGGGCAGAATTATATCCGTATATTAGTAATACAACCACTCGGTGTCATGTAACTGACAAGTGGTTTCAAAACATGCTGTGATGCATCATTTTTCCACAGGGAGGAGCTCTTGTTCACTGAATTCCATGCTCTCAACCTCGCATTGTTATTAACACAGCCTCCGGGAAACTACATGTGCATACCTTGCCCTCTCCAAATGTCAATCCTGCAGAACCAAAAGGGTTCAGAGGAGGCGTAGGGAGTCCGGGGTAGATGACCACCTCATGGGTCAGCTCTGGAGAAGTTAGGATTTGCTGACCTGATGAAACTCCAGGCTCCCCGGAGAAGATAACCGGGGACCTGTTTAGACCGCCAGCCACTTCTGCACATTGCTAAACATAGAGGAAATGAGAAATGTTGATGAACAGAAACAATGCGTGAACTTTGCTCCTGTATTGTCCTCTCCTGTTGGCCCTGGGTAAACACTGCTCTCTACGGGATGTCATGTGAATTTATTAGTGGCCCAGCTATTCTCTAGAGAATAACTGGCCTCAGTGGGGGAGCCTCTGATGAAAAGGCCCCTAATTTATTTAAAGCAGGACCAGTGGGAAGTGGTGTTCCACCCACTTCATCATCTCTCGTGCCACAATTGCAGAAAGGCCTCATTCAAGGTGCAGAGTGGGGGCACTGAAACAGGAGAGGACCATTATGAGCCCATTAACTCCCTATTCACCAGGCCTCCCTATTCTCCAGCCAAGGGGTGGAGCCGGGGCCACGGAGGTTGGGAAGGGGCCGTTGATGTCATTTTCAAAGTCCAGCAGGGCTAGCACTGGTCTTGCGGTCTCCATAGAGATCTTTTTACTACCATCGTCCATGATGGCTAGTCCAGCTCTTCTAGTGGATCGCTATGTATTTGAATCAGGTGCTTTGGTTCTCCCTGCGTGGTTGATGGGTGTCATGTGCCTTGTGGTAACGGTAGAACAGGTTTGTGCACCAAAGGCGTGATGTGGTGAAACTCGTCTGATTCCTGGATTTTGTGGGTTTAATGTGCTTGTTCAAGACAATGGCATTTGTTAAACTGTTGTAAAAGTCAACACTTTGCATAATTTTGAAAAAAAAACGTCTTTACCTGAGACTGCATGTGATCTGTTATGGTCCTTGTGTGACAGATGGGAAATTCTTGTACCTGCAAAGACACGCAAAATGCAAACAGTTAGATGATAGTACGCATGTATTTTCCAGAGGGGTTGCAATATTTGTATCAAAATGATGAGCAATGTTTTTAAAATAGGGACATTGGCTAGCACCTTCAGATATGGTATCAGATCAAGATGATAATGTATTTTTTGTGCCTGAACGCATTGCTAGAGTAGACTATTATGTGGCAGATGTCCAATCCAATTGGCTGCTTTTATCAAATGTACAGTCATGTGTAAATAACTTTCTCTTCATGTGTGTTGTATTGCCAGTTCATGATTGCTCTACTTTGAGGAAAAATTGTTGGAAATATTGGAAATGTTATATTGATTATCCACTGTTATCAAATGAATTACAGAAGTGTGCACATTTCTGTTGTTGTTGCCTCAGTCTTAGTTACAATCTCACAGCTGTCACCAAATTGTGATGCAAATGTTGGGAAATCCTCAATGTTGCACGGAAATAAGGTGACATCACATTTTTCCAACAGAGCCTTCGGAGGAGGATAGAGCTTCACACCAGTAAGTGGAGGACAGATACAGAAAGTGTTCATGTGAAATACCTTAAACTGCTCAGTTAAATTGGTCAAAGAACAAGTTGAATGAGAAAATAGGTTTTCAGGTTTTTTAACCCTTTGAGTCATTAGTTGTGTTATAAATCACATGAATCACACCAGGCAGACTTGACAACTGTTCCATTATCTCGTCCCACTAGTATTCCAAAGAGGGAAAGTTAGCGTCACACACTTTTCCCTTTTACTAAGGAAAAACCCACCCAAAAAATGAGTGTGACTCACATGCGGGCTTCACTTTTCCCAGTCATACAATGCCTTAATTTAATAAGCAGGACTTGAGGGGCTGGGTGATGGAGAAGGTCGGCTACAGAAAGTGGAGACCAGCTTCCAATCAATTGCACCTCAGAAAAACAGATTAGGCTCTGCTGTATCAACATCAAAGGCACGGGGAAAATGAGGGGAAGGCCATTTCCGCTCCTGCGTGCTGCAGGCACCTCTCATCTACAGTGGCTAAATGGCCCATAATAACATTGTAGGCATAGAAACCACAGCCACTGTACAGCCCTGCATCCGTGCAACCCTGGCCTCTGAAGAAACAAGGTTGTTTGGTGATTCTTTGTGCACTTGGACTGTGGTCAAGTGGTCCCTTATCTTAAGGGAAAAACAGCACAGATTGTAAACAAACAAGGGTTTTTCCTGTCCTGATGCAAACTATGGCTGTGTAGCTTGGCAAGAAAGTCCAGGCTACTACAGGCTGAGAGCTGCCCAACACAATTTGCACAAATGACTTTTCCATGTGGCATTTGCAGTTGAGCATTAGAGTCTGTAATCACTGTGGTCAATTCCAAGAAAACTATACGCACTCTGTGTCTCTGTGCACAAGGTTAGGACATAGCACAGAGAGCTTACACTGATAGAATCAATGCTCCAGTTTCCAGACGATGTCACTCTATCCGAGTCATCATCTCCCAATAAACTGCCTTACATAACGGGAAAGAAAATGGCAACCGGAGGATTGTGTCTACAACAATACCATTACTGCTCAGGCATGACAGATGACTTATGCTTGCCCAAAGCAACTTCAGCCAGACGATTATCCGTCTAACAATAGGCAACACTGCAAACGAGCTACATTTACAAGTAATGGCTTAAGTAATCTCATTTACAATGTGTTTGACAAGCTGGTTCTTACCAGATCTCCTCACTGCAGGCTGCCATGCACTTTAAAGGCCCTATCACACTGACGAACTAGATGAGTAATTCATTGGCATTTTTAATGAGTACTGTTTCCACACAGGCCTCTTTAATACCGAAATCCTGAAGAGCAAAGTAGCTCCCTTTTCAAGACAGCTGCCTTTTTCCTTACCCATGCTTTTCATGATGGTTGTGGTTACTTGAAAACTATCAACAGATATATCAATAAAATGAAGAATTGAATTAAGTGCATTGCCATAAAGTTGGGGGACTCAGAAGAGACAGGTTAAGAATAAAAATGGTCAAAAAGAAAGCAGCAGAGACTAAATGATTCTGACCTTTAGTCTAGCTCCAAAAGCAATGGATCCTACATTTCCCATAATTTAACTCAACAGCATCACTTTGGCAGATTTGTTGTTCTTGTAAAATATAATAATTTGCCCAAATATTATGAGCATTACGGACCACTTGTTGTTTTCACTAGATTACTAAAACGTTGACATGGGAGCTCAATCCACCTCAGAGGCCCAACAGACCAGCTTTATCGACATCACATCCTGATGAGTAAGCGCATGTCATAACAGTGTCTCTGTGTCTCATTTTTCTGGGGAGTTAAATCAAACAGGGAAATCCTCCAACAGTGTATGCATCCCCCCATCCAGAGCACCAAACACAATCCTACCTAATAAGGAAAAATCAGTGTTGATATCTAGCAAATCCCCGTCTCTCAAGTCTGGCTTTCCCTGGGTTTGCTCTGAACACCCAGCGCATTCTTACATAATTACTGAGACTCAACAGTGGAGGCAGCTATAAACTTTCACATGGATACAGTTTTTCAGACTGGTGGTATGTGACTGTGTTGAGGCCAACTTTGAGATGTGTAAACTTTATGGCCCAGGTATTAGTTGAACCCCTGCTAAGTGAGAGGTCCATTATCACCACAGGATCCGTTTTGGGATGGAAGGAAAAACGGAGCCATAAAAGGTCTATGTGCTTCCCGAATGAGAATGAGACGATGTCCTGCATTTTATATTTCCAGCTTACTGCAGAGTTTCTGTTGTTGAATTCTGCTTTATATTTAGTCCGTTACAGGGCAACTGAGGACATCCAAAATGAAAATCAGGGGATTTTAGTATGGAAATCTCTGCCTCTGTCCCCCTGGAATCTCATCCGGTCTTGAAGACACACAGTACCAGATGTTAAACTCTGTAAACTGATCTACAAAACAGAAGTCCAACAGCTTCACAACATAATTAAATCAGACATTTGTGTTGCAATATATATAAAAAAAACGTTAGTAAGGTTCTTTTTCTTCCTTTTTTTAACCCATAAGGAGCGGATGAGGAACCAGATTATTATGTGAAGTTGCTGAGCCAGAGCAGACCTACTCAGCAGCTACAAGGTCAGTGAACTTCACCACACCCCTGATTCCTGTGAATTACAATGGGAGGTTTCCACAGCCGGGAATAGCAACACAACAGTAATGCAAGGCTCACACTTTTGAAGAAAAGAAATTGGCAAATTTTAAAAAAAATTGCAAAAAAACAAAACCATTCACTCTGCAGTTCATTCAGTACCACAGAAACGGATGACAAGTGAAACTGCTGTGAGGTCAGTGTTCCTCTACAATCATTAGTCTGTCTTCTAATGTTCTCTTTCTTCCATAGAAGGATGGATGCAACTGGGTCTTTTTGAGAAGACCCCGACCTACGACGACCTCCTCCTCCTCCTCAACATACACAGCTTCTTGCATTGTTCTCACCAAGAACACGGCTGTCAAGGTGACCACACCTAATGAATAACTGTCACAATGTCGACCTGTGAACTTCTGCAATCTGTTGGCACACCATCGGGAAAGTAGTGATTTGTGGTGAGAGGGCAAATCAAGTTCTCCATAAATCATCAGGGACCGTGGAGAATGTGTCAGTAATGAGCAGGGACAATGACTGAAAGTCCTGGGACTTAAATAAAACAAATAAAACTGTCACTCCTGAACCGATGTCCATTCAGAAGCACTGGTGTTGTACCCTGCTTCTGTGTGCAGGGTAGTGAGGAGAAATGCAGAGTTAATCATTGACTCCATGAGGTGGGAACTGCTGCCCATGAACGGATCTAAGTCCTTCTCACATTCATGAAGGACACCGGACCAAATATGAGCTCAATATTTGCTTAAGGTGGTCATTTTGTTTGGGTGAGCACTGACCTGCGTTACATTTGACCTTAAACACTCCTGTTGAACAATCTTCAAGTGTTATTTCTTTGATATTTACTGAGCACAAAGAGACAAACGGAGGAGTAAAGTCTTATCACCGGTTTGCACATGCACAATATCACCAAAGCGCAACATGTTGCATAACAGGGTCATAAAGCCAGAATAAATCCTGCTTTAAAAAGTGGTGAGAAGGTAATCACAAGCACATTTGCAGAATAAATAAAGAGGGCATTTACTTCTAAACAAATGAAATGAGTCACTCTGCAGTTATGTTGGAGAGATGTTAGAGGTCCTCTGAGGTTCATCACGCAACCATGCTGCCCTTCTGCAACGTAGCAGATGTGCGGCCCATACAAGGTCCTGCAGCCGCAAGTTTATGATATGTAGTTATTGGGGGATACAGACATTTATCAGTAGGGAAGTATTTCACCTCCTTGTATGGTGCTCCTCCAGTCAGAGCATTGACTGGAGGAGGAGTCACTCTGTGTGCTTCTTGTCAATGGAGAGGCGATGTGTTCCCAGGAGGAGCAGCGGGGCAATAAATTAAACCCCCGCTCTCCCAGAAGCGTCCAACGCTGAGCTGAAGTTTATCAGATTTGTCCTTACAACAAACACACTTCGTATAATTCAAGATAATTCCTTATTTGGTTGGATTTTGTACAAGTGAAACTGTAACACAATGTGTCAGACAAAGCATGAGAAAATACACACTCAGATCACGGTAAGTACAGAAGAATCTCACAAATCCTCATGCCTGTCATTTTGCATCTTCAAAGCTGAGTGCAGCCTGTGGATATGAGGACTGGCAGCTGGACCCTCAGTAATATCACAAAGGGAATCAGAGCCGGCTGTGCAAATCACAGTGACATGTAAGGGGAGCCACCAGCGATGACTGGATGGTCCTGATTTCAGGCCACTAGAAATCTGCTGCAGGATGGGAAAGCAAATGATTTCCTTCGAATCTCTGGAGGTCTGCCTGCAAAGCAATGAGGGATGACATGTTGGGAAACACTGCCCACAGAGCCTTTTCCCCCTCTCTCTCTGTGCTCCGGCTGTATCTCACAGCTGCTTTTGCCTCTACTTGCCAAAAAAGCTCAGTCCGTTAACTCCCACAGGTTTCAACATCAAAACTACACACTCAACTTGTTTTCAGGTGCAGGTCTGCAGCACTAATCCTGTGGAGCAGCCCTGAGCAGTCAGACAGGTTACTCAACCTTCAAAAGACACAAGTTTCTACAGTCTCAACATTTAAGATCACTCCCTGTGATTTAAATCTGAGCTCCCATGGGAAAGAGTGTACTCACCTTAAAAGTGGCACCTCTTTCTGTACGACCGTAAACCACGCCGTAGACCCTCCCTGCTTGTTCTCTCTCTCACTAATGAGACTAACCAGGACTCACTCACACTCACACTCTCTCTCTCTCTCTCTCTCTCTCTGCGGAGGACTTCCCGGTTGACAGGAATCGCCATAGCAACCCACTTCGGCCCCTGTTCAAAAGCCACCCTCTGCTCTTGGCTTGTCAGTTCGGGGGGGGGCACCTCCTTCAGTGAAGCAGCCCTATTGTTGTGATGAGGCGATATTTCACAGCGCAGGGTTAACCAAAGGGGAACGCAAGTAGTTCATCACCTCCACCGCCCAGACACTGCCCAGTGACTCCATAACACCCCCTCCTAACTTTGTCTCTCCCATTCCTCCCTCTGCTTTTGTGTCTGTGTGTGTGTGTGTGTGTTTTATGTGTGTGTGACTGCAAAGGCCAGATCTCTGGCATGAAGGGAGAATAAGAGCTCTTGTTCTAGGAGCTCTGGAAGTGTATCAGTCATTACTCTGCACACAACATGGTCCACCACTGACAGCACAATCCTGTTGACTTTTCTCCCATCAGCTCTCTCTGATGTTCAAATTAGGTGGTGCAGTATATCTGCACAGATTAGTCGGTCTTGCCCAAATAAGACCAGGAATTCCAGTGTATCTGCAGTTCTTGCCAATGAACACTAACGGTGCAAAACCTGAAATCTAACGTGCTGACAGGCTTGCTTTGGCGCTGAGTCTGCAGCAGGTAGACCGAGTTACAAGGTGAGAGATCAAGTCACCTGCTAACAAACGCAATCAGCGTTCTGGCTCATATGCACTTTGGGTTATAGTAATAAACTAAACAGGACAAGGATTATGTCTCTCTGTGTGTAGGCCAGTCCCAACTTGAAATTGACTCGGTTCTTTTTTAATAATTCAGTGGTCTGGCTTGGTAGAGCGAAACTCAGGGCAGATATCCATTTACAGAGCCTGTACTATACGGACAGGGTTGTTTTTGCCAAACAGTTGAGCCGCTGAACCTGAGGGCCGAGCTGGGCAGTGCAGGCTTCAGGTGGAGGCTCTCCCTCATAATCTGTGTCCCGCCGGAGCAGATTCTCACCCCGCTGTGATCACATCTGACACCTTGTCACTCTGCAGCTAAATGAAGTAATCACGCAGGAGGCGATTGCAGCTTTGGCCCGGGACCTCTCCCCACACTGGAGCCTTGTTTACTTTGTCTCTGTCTCTTCGCTTAACAAACAAGGCTTCACCAATGCCAGCTCCCCTGTTTTTAATAACAGAGAAACATTGTCAGAACAGGAGAGGAGAGGCATGATGGCTGAGATGCATGGCTTCCAGCAGACTTTTACTGTGCTGTAAAGACCAACCATTGTCTTTTCACACGGAGTGGTATGTGCCAGTATGTTACTACACAAGCTCATTAAAAAGCCTGAGAGCCAAAGATTCCAGCGAGTGAATAAACCATGACATGAATCTCTTACATAATCTAAAAACTACATCACTCTACTCTGAAGAAACAAGAGACAGCAAGTCTGTAAGAGTTGTCATCCAATCAAGGTAAAACTGGAGAGAAAGAGGTGAGTCTACAGGTAAACAAGCATCATTCAGTGTCCTTCATACCACAGGTTGAGTTGTGACAGACTTGCTGACTGTCTCTAGGAACAAACATACACACACACAGTAAAAGATTGGCATCTGCTGTAGTAAAGTCTTCCACATATCTGCCTTTATCCATATAAGTGCTCAACTGTTGCTCAACAACTCTGAGAAAAATTGAAAACAAAAACTGTCACAACAATGACAGAGCAAAGAAAATAAACAAGCCTATCTTGTTTGTCTCAGTGGTTTCCATCGATAAACTGAGTGATGAAGGAAAACAACATGATGTTCAAATCTGTGTCAGAGGCAGCTTCCTTTCCAATGAAAATGTCAACGACTGCATCTTAACTACCAAGTCAATCACATGACAGAAGCTGGAAAACACTCCTTTTCTCTTGAATTGTGAATATTCCCTTGCTTTACATACTAACACTTGAGAAGTGGCGGCACAAGTTGTACAGTACTTACAGGCGAGTGCAGGCTGAGCAGTGAGGTCTCCTCAGTGCAGCGTGAGAGAGGAAGTGAATGAAAAAGAAAGAGGGAATCGCTGCTGCTCTACTCTCCCTCCCTTTTTTCTCTTTTCTCTCTCTCAGGCCAACAGGGTGTCTTTTATCTTTGGTGAATGATTCAGCGTGGGTCTGAATGTTTGACTGAGCGTCCGTAGGCGTGCGCATGTGTGTGTCTGTGTGTGAGCATGCACTTTAAAGCTCATCAGGGAGAAGGGACTCAGTAATAGTTTCCATCCACAGCTGGAAATAATAGAGATTCCCATACAGGCACAGGCGCAGTGGCACCGCCCTCCAGTGTTTTACATGCAGGGGAAGAGGAGGCGATTTCCATTGCCATCTCAATAAATAGGCCTGAGTGACACACATATTATAATAGCATGGTCTATTCACTGTATTAGACCTTTAAATGATTCAGATCAGACACAAAAGACAGTTTCGGGTGCTTTCTGTGAGATCCAGGTGGCTCTATTGCTCACCTGACAATTTGCAAGATCCATCTTTACATTCAAGAAAGAGTACTTCTAAAGGGATTTCTAAAGGGATTTCTAAGCACAGATGCATACACACATATGCAAAGGCCCACACACGCACAAACACTTTAGGGCCCCAGAAAAGACTCAGTGTTTCCGTGTTCAGACCTACTCACCCAATATGAGGAAAGCCTTGCAGCACAGCCAAGAGAAGTAGTGCTACTGCTTTCCTTTTAAAGTCCACGGTGTCATCAGAAGAGCAGTTCTATATTCTTTAACTCGAGTGAAAAGCTTCTGTTAAGCTCCTGAGAGGTTTATCTTTTTGGTTCCCACTCCCATATTTCCTTGTCCTGAGATATTGGTCTGCAGACGCCTGCTGGATTCCTGGCCCCCGAGTCCAGAAGCAAAAGTCTCAGCTCTGCCATCCAAGATAAATATTTAACAGGATGGCTGCGAGATCAGCAACCAAAGGTCACACCTCTCTCTTTCTCTGGAGTCCATCTTCACGTTGGACCTTGGAGATGAGCCACGTCACACTCCACAGTGTCACCTTGAATTGCTTTCAGGGAAATCACAGTCCAGATGAGAAACAAGCTATAAATAGATGTGGAAAGAAACAATTAGCAGTTAAAATGTGTATTCCATCACTGGTCTGATAATGTATGTTAGTGAATTGATCCTTCCTTCTGCCTGATGCTGTTTGTTTGTATGTCAAAGTTAGAATCCATACCCTGTTTCCAAAAATCTGTGAACAAGAAGCCCTTTGCCAAAAATGTCCTCTTTGTTCTGCAGTGGACATTCATATAATACGCAGTGCCACACTGCCTCTTAGTGGGCCTGAAAAGAACTGTGTGGAGTTTATATTTTACCATGAATAAAGACAGATGTCGCCAAAGTCAAAGAAATGCCACCATCCATCTGTAGAAATAGTGTGAAAGCACAAAGTATCATTCAAAACTCAAAATGTGATTTCATCCTTTATTTAAACTGAAAAATCTTAATTAGCACTTAAGCCAGGTTTATCACAGACACATTATCAATAAATATAATAAAAGTAATATTTACATTGTGTTATGATTTCCTCGAGTAGAATAAGAGCAATACATCATTTCATTGTATTTAATTGAATAATAAATGCATAGCAGAATTAATTAATAACACATTAGCAAAGTAATGTATTTGAAAAACAATGCTTACATTTGTGTAAAAATGTGACCTCGCCTCCTTGTTCTCATACTTGTTGTGCAAATCATGTAGATCATATCTGCAACACAATATGTAACCGTCACAAGCAAAACAAAAACAGTGCCACCACCTGTTGTTATTACCTAAGAGCAAGGTGCAAAGCAATCAGTTTCCCGACAACAGAATGATTTTCTCTTTGACATTTTATGCGGTCACTTGATGTTGATGGTAATCTGGTAAGATTTCCATGGCCACACAGGGGATACATGACTGAAA